TGAGGTGAAAAAATAAATAATACATTTAAAACGCCTTTTTCCCCCCAAGTTTATATTTGTAGCCAACTTTAGGCTGCCTTTATTGAGTATTTTCAAGAAATACATAATAGTAGTTTGTAGGAAATTTTATTCTCTATCAGAATATCACCTTCCACTTTGATCAATTTCCTCAGCATTTCAAAGTTATTTGCAAAAACGTTAAACAACCTCCCTATTTATTATGAGAAAATACTGAATTAAAGATGTTGTTGTTAAACTTTGTACAATTAAATCTACAGATCTACTGAACCGATTTTAATAATTAATAGGTCATTGGATAAATAGAATTAGAGTATTATAAGTCACCTCAATTTAAGGAATTTTTATTGCCAGAATATCTATATAGCGTTCGTAACCTCTGCTTAACGAATTGTCAGTGTCTTTTTCTTGATATAACGACCCCTTCTCCCTCCCTTTGGAAACATCACACAGCTCCTTCGATGAAAATGAAATGGAAACAACGCTTGCGCCAACAATCGTCTGCTCCGTTTTACACTTCTGTCTGCTGTGCGCTATGTTACAACAGATTTAAGATACAACAGCTGGGGAATGATGACGATATAATAATTAGTAAACTCTGATTAGTAACCATGGTAACTTTAGTAAGGCTGTGATTGGGCAATGAGTAGGCCTAAATATGGCGACTTGTTAAATTGAATTTGTGTATGAATTGAAAAAAAAACTTATAAAGAACAGAAGAATAAAGAAAAAGAATAACAAGATTGTTCTCGTTACATTCTTATTTAAGAGCGATTTTATTATCTCTAAATATAATTTTAGACTTTTTTACTTATCTATCAACTCCTATGCTGTGATACAGCACCTACCGGTAGGCTATCTGTCTATCGTGAGCAGTAGCTTATAACACTTTCTAAAGGTTCCTTTAATATTTACGTTATTTATAGCAATGCAGTGTTTGGCAGTGTTTGGCTGGTTATTATTTGTGTTTGAGTTAGTTTGTACAACTGAACCAAGATAAATGATTTGAAATGTACAATAATAATGTTATTGCAATATAATAATGATTGTGCAATATTGAATTTCGTTTATAAAAATGCAAATCGTGACGTTAATGGCTGTTTACAGCGTTTTAATGGGTTCGTCATCTATTTTTATACTATATTGGATTAACCGTATTTTTCATTACCCACTAACCCCCCCCCCCCCTCCCTAGGTAATCGAGTATCTAAACAATAGTGAAAATCATTGTAGCCTATGCTACTTGATTGTATTTTAACGAGCTTTATGTCAACAAAGTGTTCTAAGCTAAGTCGCGGTGTACTTGATGACAAATATGTGCTTGCATAGCTTTATTTTAAGACCAAAATTTTTAAAATCGGTCGGGTAGAAGAGCTAACCCGACTCGGAAAAGAAAAAAACAATAAATTTTATAGGTGGTAATAATTGGTTTACCATTATGCATAATCTAATCATACGAAACATGTGTTAATAATTAATTGAACAGCTTATTGGTATATTGTTATTTAATTAATTTTTCTTTGATTTAATGTCGTTGCTAACAATTTGCATTTGTGTTTTAAAGTGTGTTCCTTATGTTAAGTGTGTGATTCTGATGTTATGTGCTTAATCTGTATCATTAATATTAGTGAGTAAAGTGGTGTATGGATTTCATAACCATTATTTTACTAGAGACCGTTGTATTTAACCACAACGGGCTCTGTTGCTAGTACATATATAAATTACATTTACAATATTCTTCAGTTAAATTACTTTAACGAGTACTTAAAACAATATACAATATAAATTTATCTAATAATTGCATAATTCAATTCATTAGGCATAATGACTTGTTTTTGATCGTCGCCTGCTAGTAAGGACGGCGCGGATGGCGGCCAGACCGTCCCAATCCCAATACATGTAGTCTTATGGCAGAACAACCGAACAGCGCTGAGGGTGCCATGACGTCATTCCAATGCTTTAGAATTGGCGCTTTGGGGCAGAGTCCAAAGTTACACACTCTTAAATCAGGGCAGCCACCAAAATTTAGATATTCTATGTGGCAAGCTACCGTTACTGTATGATGGTTAGAACTGATGTTGGCGCAACTGTTTGTCATAACTCAAACCATCTAATTTCTAAAACAAGAAAACAAGTGAGCTAACCTCAAACTGTTATTTTGGTGTTGTTTAGTGATTCATGAATAATGATGTAGAAGTACCGTTCGTGTGTGTTAAAATACTAAATGAATACTTTATAAACTTGTTTTTACATCCAATTTAGTTAAAGGTAGGCCCTGCACTTCTAGTCAATTTCAAATCAACAACGCAAAAATAATATTATTGAAGTTTAATAGGGTTTTAGGTTACCGTGCCGGTATAAGCTTAAATGCAATTTGTTTTTGTAAGATGTTAAGTTATTTAGCTTTCTATTCCTTATTACCATAGATATTTTATAGAATATTATAATTATTTTATTTAGTGTTATTTTCAGGACAGACCCATTTGCATACATGTTTATTAAGTTAAATACTATAGCAGCCTTGGAAATAAGTTTAAATACTATAGCAGCCTTGGAAATAAGTTTAAATATGTATTGTAGGTGTGTTTGTATTACAAATTTAAGCCTTATTTTTTTCAATTATTTGACAAACGTGTATGATGGTAGGTTTTCCTTTGGCCTATATATAAATATGCAGGGCCCTCCCATAACCTATGAACACCAGCCGCTACTGGTATTGCTGTCCATGCCAGCTGTCGTCATTTGGGGACAGAGCAGATTTTAACATCCCTAGGGCCGAAAATCAGCTGCCCGCTTACTTTCTTAAAACATTAATGTATATTAAATACACAATCGGTATCCACAGCATTGCAATAGAATTGTCTTATTGTCACCACTGCCAAGTAACTACCGGTACTGTTTATTATTTTTTTTGCTGATACCTCAAATTATTTCTTCACATAGCCCTTAAAGTGTTAGTTGTGTTATCAATTATCAATCATTAAGATGGGGACGCCACTTAGGTGCGTATTGTAACCCAAATATGAGTGAAGGATAAGTGTAGAATGGTGTGTGATGATCTGTGTAGCTTTGTTACTGACTAAGATCAGCTGTTAGCCAGGATCATTTATTTAAAGCCCAATGATCAGGAAGTTGACTAGTGTGCAATATTATTGTGGTGAATAGTGGTACCGGTACTAGGGTTTAGTGTAGTGAAAAATAGCATTCGTACCACGGACCAAAATGGTTTTGCAGCTCTCGATCGTTTTAAGTTCTCTACTTTGTCTCAAACTTAAAAAGTATCTAGAGCCCGCAAAACCTCATTTTTGGCCCTAGGTACGAAATATACTATTAAGAGAAGGACTGAAAAACTTAGTTTGGTAGGATTTTGTTAGTCAATGGATACCATGGGCGCCCACAGGGCAGATGTTAGCAAGATGTTAGCCCTGGCTGAAAAATAAGAAATAAATTTAATACCCATAATGTTCTATAATAACTTTTATTAATCAAAAGTGGGTTTTAAGAAATTTTAAAAAGTACCTTTATTATGGTGATTTCTAAAAAAACTTTTTAGTTTTTAAATTTATGTTTAAATCAAATACTGTAGCCTAAGAAGGCCTAGTTGAATCACAGATGTACCATTCTTTAATACTTTAACAAAACTATTCAGAAAACAAAACATCAACTTTCTTGGCTTTTATCTAGGCTTTATTAAACTGTAAATTTATTTTTCTTCATAACTGTTTGGCTTGTGGATTTGATTTAACAATATAAACCACCTATACATAATAACTTCAAATAGATTATTAATTTTGAATGTTGGCATAAAAAACGATGACTTGATACAACCCTTGATACACAATATACTATTTTGTTTTGGTTGGTTCTATGTGTTTACCAAATAGCTTAAAAAATATGTTTAAAAACACTATATTTTAGGAATCTTCCCAGGGAAGACCCGAATCCCCTAGATTTTCATTAGATCAATATATTGCACCCCCCTGTTCCAAATCCTGCGAGCGCCCATGATGGTTACCTATATTATTCATAATAGAACATTTTTGTAAAACTTTTTGTGATACATGTGGAAAGGAATTCCAGATTTTAGATAGTTATTCATCCAAAAATTCGCCTTGCAGTAGTTTTTACGACTCCTGGGGAAGGCATATCGGTAGTGGGGGTATAGTTGACGAGCCATACTGCAGCATTGGTAAGCGCTTTTCTTATACCTGCAAGTCTACTTTGTCGGTTACTGTCGGTTGAGTGACATGAGTAGCACAACAAAAACATGTTTTAAAGCTGTTGCGTGTACAACATTGTTTGCAGGAGAGGACCTTTTCTGTGACCCATGGAACAAACACGATTCCTGCAGGGGGCCTTTTAAGCCGTGAGTAACTTACAGATCTACCGGTTGAACTAGACTGAAAATCCGGTAGGCCTCATCTCTTTAGAGACCCAAAAGTTGAGGACAAGAGTAATTAGTTGTGCCACTGAACATTCACATATTTTTTGCTATTTTCAGAAATACAGCAAGTGCCATGAATTGCTCCTAGCAGTTTTAAAAACATTTTTCACAATCTTCTCTTTGTTTTGTAAAAAAAGTAGTGGGAAGGAATACACAAACTGTTTTTTTTTTAAGCCTAGACTTTTTGTAGTAGGCCTACTGTACTGTGACAGACTTTTTATAATTTGTTTGCAGTAGTTATTACGACTCCTGGGGAAGGCATATCGGTAGTGGGGGTATAGTTGACGAGCCGTAGTGCAGCATTGGTAAGCGCTTTTCGTGTACTGTACCTGCAAGTCTACTTTGTCGGTTACTGTCGGTCGAGTACCACTAACTGAGTGGCGCAAGTTAGGGAGAGGATCGTAGAGACAACACCATCCATGTTCAAATTGTAGAAAACTAATTTTATCTGGCTTACACATACAATAAGTTGCTCAGTATGTTTTTGAAAAGCTGTATTGAAAATTTATACTTAACGCTAAGAAGTTCATTGACTTACATTTTTCAGTGAAGACTTTTCGGTGCTAGACCTATTTTCATAAGATTTCTTGAGTTGTGTTAAATGGAGATCTACAATTACACTTTCCTCCTCATTTCGGTTTTCAAAATAGCATAAGTGTTCTTTTGATAGGTAATTTCCAAATTTTGCCAAAAATAGTCCATAGTCACGATCTAACAATTCTTCAGTTAATAATCTCTTCTCTTGTTCACTAAGGTCTTCTTTGCGTTTATGAATATTATTAAAAATAATTTCATTGTTACTGGATATATGATCAATAATTGATTTTTTCATTGATAATCTATTTCCACTATCCTTACTTTCATCTCTAATATTCTTCAAAATTAACTCTTGTTCTTCCTTTAAAGATTCTTCCTTAAAATTATCCCCCATGTTTCTTTTGGTGGTTACTAACAATTTTTAATTTTTAAGTTAAAGAAACCATTTCTTTGTTGTCAGGCCTGAAAAAATGACAGATTATTATAAGAAAATGTGTTTGTCTTAAATTTGCTGTAAGGCATACTCCAGATAAAGTAAAAAATGAAACTAAGGAGTGTTATACAACCTTTAAATATTCTATAACGCAGGACATCCACTAACACTCAAGTACTTACCAGTATGAAAATCAAGAAGTTTGTTTTAAGCCCTGCACAAACCAGAGCAATATTTTATCGCTGGAGCAACGTGATACAATTTCTAGAATTTTATCTGTGATACTTGAGTGATAATGTGACAGTGGAAACAGGTGCTTCTACACCAGAGCTGGAAAAGAGATGTGCAGGAAAGCCAGTACACCTCAGGGGTGCGGTGGTTGTGTGACTGTCTGGACGTAAAAGTGTTGTGTTATAGATAGTGTTTGTATACCGATACTGAACTGTGTGTTTCCTTAATACCTAGGGTTGCCATATGGTAATGTATAAAAAAGAGGTTTACATGGTGTCTACTAAACCTGGTTTGAAAAATTCAAGGAGTTTTCCAGGAGAATTCAAGACAAACTCCTGAATTTTAAGAGCTACTTTTGGAACCCGCTCAACTAATCGCAACACGCTAATAATAATTTATTATTATTTAAAACAAAACTTTTCCAAAGAATAATATTTTATACAACATAATAAAACAGTATAACTGGTAGGTAAGGCGACACCAGTTATCATCTCCGGCGATCGTGGGAATACCGGTGAGCATATCTTGCAGTCTCATCAACACCGCGAACCGATCGCGGCAAAACAGGTTCACATATTTTATGATTTCAGCAACACCGATAATCGTCTCCCGCGATCGCGGCAATACCCGTGAGCCTATCTTGCGGTTTCTGCGGCACCGATAATCGTCTCCCGCGATCGCGGCAATACCCATGAGCCTATCTTGCGGTTTCGGCGACACCGATAATCGTCTCCCACGATCGCGGCAATACCCGTGAGCCTATCTTGCGGTTTCCGCGACACTAATAATCGTCTCCCACGATCGCAGCAATACCCGTGAGCATATCTTGCAGTTTCGGCGACACCGATAAACGTCTCCCACGATCACTGCAATACCCGTGAGCATATCTTGCGGTTTCGGTCACACCGATAATCGTTTCCCACGATCGCGGCAACAAAAGCAGTAGTATTTCGATTAGCCGACGATTCCGATGACCGGGCTCCGGATTCCCGGAGGTTTGGGTGGATTCCTGGAGTTTTCCAGGACATTTCAAGGTAAGATAACATTCCCGGAGTTTTCCGGGTTTTCCCGAATTTCCCGGAGAGTAGACACCATGGAGGAGATTTTAGCTGGTGGCCCCCACTATAATAGTGGATAGAAATAAGCAGGCTAGCGAAATTGCATAGGCCTACCTAGTACATAGCAAAAATATTAAAATATAAACTGTATGGGCATAAACTAAAACTTAATAAAAATGATGTCACTGGCCCGAAATTAAAGCAGTTTTTATTATTATATAAATGGAACCGTCAAAAAACATCCAAACCAGTTGTTACCGCTACTAGCCTATAGACATTCGGGCCAGTGGCGTAATATGTTTATATTTATTAATCTATAACTTTCTTGTCACAACAAAACGCTCTCTGTCTGCTAGGCTTTGGTTGGTAGTGAACGCGGAATCGGGGATACACTTCAGAGTGGCCGGCAGACGAGAATTGAAGGACTGAAGGCAATGAAACAGATGATGAAAATAAACTAAGGACATTGCTGGCCAAAGTGAAACCAAGGAATAAAAACACGTTAGTAGAGAGTACCTAAGACAGTTGCATTTTTCAGTTATTGCATAGACCTAACGATATTTGCGAACACCAACCTTTATTTTATTTCAAAAGTGCTGTTATATATTGTATTTTAATAGGTAGAGAGTAAAATAGAGAAGATTTTTTAATTTTTGCAGTAATCCCCCGGAGCTAAATTTTGAACATCAAAATCCGGTAATCACCAGGGAAATGGCAACCCTATTAATACCATAACATCATCTGATGAAGAATCGTCGCTGTTTACAGTTGTGCTAGAAGAGGAAAGAGCAAGGAAAATGTGGGTACAAGACATAAAGGAATAGCTGCAATTTGGCAAGTATCATAAGCAAAAATTTGGCCACAGTTAAGAAAAGATGAAACAGATTCTACATACGGGTGTCTCACCTAAAGTAAACCAATAGCTAACTTTTTTATTATGATAAGGACAGTTAACTCTTTAAGGGGAGCTTCCCTTTATTTTTTAGATGTTTTTGGGATGTTTTCAAATTTAAAAAATACGACCGCCGTTTTCCAATAGGGTACGGCTGACAACTTCAATATTTTTACGGAACGCTCTGCATTTGATGAATGTAAATCCAATTTAATTTTTTTTTTATTCTTGACATTTTTTCTCTAATTCCACTCGTTTAGAAGTTACAGCGTTAAACGTAAGAAAAGTTTGCTTGCGGTGTACATTCTGCATCCAGTAGCTCGTAAACAAGTACCTATGTTTAGAGAGAAAATGCAAAGAATAAATAGGTCTTAAAATTTTATATAAATTCTAAAAAAACCATGCAAATATTAATTCAATTTTTTCAAAAAATATCTGCCATTTTCCATAATGGAGACCAACTTTAAAATTGGAAAACACTATTTTATGGTATTTTTGGAATGTAGATACAACTTTAAGACTTTTGTTCCTTGTATTTTCTCTCTAAACATAATTGTTTAGGAGCTATGAATGTAGCCTACACAGCATGCAACTTTTTCTTAGGTGTAACTTGAACTCCTAGAAACAAGTGGCATTAGAAAAAAAGTCAATAAAAACGTTTTTAAATTGCATAGGCCTGAATCCTTAAAAAATCATTAAAATATAGGTTCCATAAGAAACATTGAAATTGTCGGCCATATTGGAAAATGTTGGTGATATTTTCAAAATTCAAAAACATACAAAAAAACATCTTTAAAAATTAAGGACAGTGCCCCATAAGAAGTTAACTGTCCTTCTCATAATAAAATACCCCCGCCGCAGCAAACCTGCAGACTAAGCGAATTTCCATTTGCTTGATTTGATTTTTAATTAAATCTATTCAAATAACATTAGGTTTAACGAGTACCTAGGTTTGCTGCCTACAGGGTAATAAAGCGTGTTTTGTAGCAAAATGTGTATCTCTTGGTATAAAATAAATAGACTGGCCAAGTTTGATCCAAATATATATGCATAAACAAGCAAACTACAACAGTTTACTTATTCTCCAAGCGAATTTCCATTTGCTTGATTTGATTTTTAATTAAATCTATTCAAATAACATTAGGTTTAACGAGTACCTAGGTTTGCTGCCTACAGGGTAATAAAGTGTGTTTTGTAGCAAAATGTTAATCTCTTGGTTTAAAATAAATAGACTGGCCAAGTTTGATCCAAATATATGCATAAACAAGCAAACTACAACAGTTTTCTTATTCTCCATAAGAATAACATAGGAATTTGTAATTTACAAATTTCTCCGTAACCAATAACCATACAAAAACACTTCAATATACAGTAGAACCCCTTTAATCCGAACCCCTGTAATCCGAATGTCCACTAATCCGAACGCCTCATTGCTGTACTCTATACATAGTAACAGTAGTTCTTTATTGTATACTGCATTTATTGATATACAAACCGTAATTATTTCAATTGTAATGTACAGTACTGTTTATTCCCTATGTTTAGCACTGTATTAAATAAACACTGTATTTTACTTTATAAAGCATTTTTCACTTTTCCCTAACTATTGTTATGTAAAAACAACAATATGTTCTGTAATCCGAACTATTCAATAGTCCGAACTACCCCTGGTCCCAATTAGTTTTGATTAAAGAGGTTCTACTGTACTGAATTATTTGTTTTTTTAAGCACTTTAAAATGGTCTTTAGGAAATTTGGGAAATTTTATGTTTTGGGGGTAAAAAATGAGAAAAACCAATTTTTACCCCATAAATCCCCCCATAAAACCCCGTTCCCATGGTCCGATCATGCTGGTTTGCGAACTCGTTCAAATAAACGTAGGTTTACATGTTGTACCAAATTTCATTGAAATCGGATCATATTTGCTCAAGTTATCGTGCTAAACGGACCCCCATGTTAACCTTATGAGTATTTATATTTTTTAAAGGGAATTAAAGAATTTAGTCTGATGTTTCAACTAAAAAAGTTGGTTCTATGATATGGAAAAGCATTAAAAAGTTATAAGATTTACCAACAGGGTGCAGCACTATATTTTTTTGCATTTATGAAAACAGCTAAATTGAACTAAGCAGCAACAAAAAACTGTGATTCGCAATGAGAACTGTCAAAATAGGATTGTTTACAGTTTATGTTTATGCTTTTCATTTCAAGAATAATTTGTGATATTTTGCGAATTGTTGATAATTTATTTTTCTCTATTGTTTAGGTGAAGCGGTAGATCATTATGGCTATGGTAGATGTGTAATACTATGGAATACTGTAAATTTAAAAAAGCTAATTTTATCAAACTGTGTCCTCCCTTATTGCAAACGCAAAGCTTGCGTAACAGGCGTGGTCACCACGCCAATGGACAGCCGTAGGCAAATGCCGTGGCGCCACGCTACCGTCCCACGGCCACAAGCAGCCGTGTAGTGTAAACAGTTTTCTGGTAGAAGCGTATTCATTAAAGGCGTGTTCATTTTTATTTACGGGTGGGTTATGGATTGTGCCAACAGATTGATTATTGAAGGATGTACGGCAGTGGTTGCTATTCTAGCTGAAGAAATAGCACGGCATTTAAGTGTTATTAAAAGATAGAAACCAAGCTGTAGCTTTCAATATTTATATTAAATAAACAAGGTTCACTTTGATACCGTTCAAGCATTCGAATTGATTGACCTTCCATTAATTTTAAAGATTGCTTTGTTTTCGGTTTTCACCGTTTCAATTGATTCGACTTGTGTCAATGTTATAGATTTCTTTGTTTTCACCATGTTACCGTAAACTTAGACGACAACCACTGACTTTAAAGAACAATAGTTAAACTCTTAGTACACACAACGGCGAGACGGAAGACGATAACTCTTCACCACGTCTAGCCACGCCTGCAACAGGCGTAGCAACCAAACACGGTTTGGTTAGTTCCAAAGGGCGTGGGGAACAGGCGTATTGGGTTGCCACGTCTGTTGCTCTCACGTCTCCACTGTTTACACGAGAGGTGGCCACGCTTCTCAAGAAAGTGAGAAAATTTCTCACCTACACGCCTGACTTTAGCCGTGACCCCACAACAGTGTAAACACCGCTTAAGTTTTAGGGGTCAAGGAGTAAAGTTACGAAAAAACATGTAACGAGTAAAATTTAAGTAAGGAGAATACAAATCAATAATAATATTTGCAAAAAGAAATTATTTAAGTATGAAAAAATAGCGAAAACTGGTAAAAATTTGAAATAAATTTACCAAATTTTGAAAGTAGGGTGTTTTTTGAAGGTTAAGGAGTGCGATTTTCGGAAAACGCCTAAGAGGGTTTTGTAGAAAATTTAATTCCCATGAAAATACTTTCAAATCTTTTCTAGCTTTTACCGTTTTTGAGCTACATCCGGTTGAAAAAACGTGTTTTTTTGTTTTCAGAGGTCCGCCATTTTGGATTTTTGGGGGGGGTTAAATTTGAAAATGGGACTTTTGCAAATTCCACCGGAAATGTAAGATCCCCTAATACAATAATAACAAGTTTCAAGTCTCTAGTACGTTTATAAGTGGTTCAGATGAGCATACCAAAGTCGGCATTTTTCAATGTTATTTCCCATAAGAATAGCATTTGGGGGGGGGGGGAAATTCTAAAATCAGGGGGAGTTAAAATAAAAAAATGCAACTTTTGAGAATTTTCCCGGGGGTTTGGTACCAAGACCTACACGCGTGCCAAATTTCAACTCCCTAGCACCTCTAGAAGTGGTCTAGAATTAGTATCTTCTGTGAGTGAGTTATATTTATGCGAGTTTATAGTATTTAGATACTAGCTGGCCCGACAGTCCTCGTCCTGTCCTAATGTGGTTTTATGTAAAATGTTTGTTCATTTTCAAGATGAGATTCGCATGGCTCAATCACGTCCTAGTTGAAGTTCGTTCGCTACGCTCACTCACCTTTAGGTTGGAGCTTATTCGCTGCGCTCACTTGCCTTCAGGTTAGCTCGTTCGCTACGCTAACCCGCCTCCAGGTTGAAGTTTGTTCGCTACGCTCACTCACCTTTTGGTTGCAAATTAGCTGTTGTCATAAATTTAAAAATATATACAGTGCTGCACCCTGTTGGTAAGCCTATAAACTTTTTAATGCTATTAAACATCACAGAATCAAATTGTTTAGTTGAACCAGCTGTTAAGATTCTTTAATTCCATATGAGTACTCATAAGGTTAACATGGGAAACTCCAGAGCCACTGGGGCGGAGCCCTTTTGACGGATCTGCACCAAACTTCACAAAAACCATCCTTGAATAATGCTTAATAATGCCTGAAAGTTTCATTAAAATCTGTCAAGCGGTTTCGGAGTCCATAAAGGACAAACAAACAAACAAACATACACATACAAACAAACAAACATACAAACATACATTGGATTTTATATAATATAGATGAGTGTAGAATGCAGTCTGATGATCTGTGTAGCTTTGTTACTGACTAAGATCAGCTGTTGACTATGGTCAGGAACAGCTGGATCCATAAAAATACCCCATTTGCCTGGATTGATTTTGAAAGTAGGTTTGCTGGTACAGGAAAACTAATTAACTTGTGTTTTTTATTAAAATATTAATAGCTTATTGTAAAATAAATAAATCTACCAAATTATATCAAAATATATCCATAAACAAGCCAACTACAACATATTATAACATTCTCCATAAGAATAACATGGGCATTTTAAATTAACAGTTTTTTTTTATTTTCTCCGTAACCAATCACCGTACAAAAACACTTTGATATACTAAATTATTTGTTTTTTTAAGCTCTTTAAAAAGGTCTGGAGAAAAATTTATAAATTTTGTGTTTTACTTAAGGGTAAAAAATGAGAAAACCCCATTTTTACCCCACAAAACCCCCCGTTAAACCCCGTTGCCATGGTCCGATCATGCTGGTTCGCGAACTCATTCAAGTTTATCCCGTCTTGCACCTTCAAAAGAAATTTTATCAAAATCAGACAAAAATTACTCAAGTAATTAAGCGGATGGACACATATATATCTATATTAAATTTATAAAAGAGGAAGTTTGTATGTAGGCCTATATATATATATTTGAACGTTATGGACTCCGAAACCGCTCGACAGATTGAAATGAAACTTTCAGGCATTGCATCATTAAGCATTATTCAAGGATGGTTTGTGTGGAGTTTAGTGCAGATCCGTCAAAGGGGTCCGCCCCAGTGGCTCAGGAGTTTCCCATGTTAACCTTATGATGCTTATATTTAAATGAAATTAAAGAATGTTAACAGCTGGTTAAACTAGACAATTTGATTATGTGATGTTCAATAGCATTAAAAAGTTAATAAATTTACCAACAGTTTGCAGAACTATTAGGCCTATTTTTTTTTATTTATGACAACAGCTAATTTGCAACCAAAAGGTGAGTGAGCGTAGCGAACGAACTTCAACCTGGAGGCGAGTTACCATAGCGAACGAGCTAAACGTGAAGGCAAGCAAGCGCAGCAAACAAGCTCCAACCTAAAGATGAGTAAGCGTAGCAAACGAACTTCAACCAGGATGTGGTTGTGCGATGCGAACAAACTTATCATGAAAATGAACGAGCATTTGACATAAAACCACATTAGGACAAGACGACGTCTGTCGGGCCAGCTAGTATATATAATATATATATATATATATATAGGCCTTTAAAGATATATAAAAAATTGAACAAATGGTGTTTTTGGCCTCTGGGGACATCAAAATGAAAAAGTAAATCGGTCCCGGGTCTAGGTCTTACCATGAGACCTACGGTAATAGCTACTTCCCTATAGCGAAATTCACTAAAAATTAGGTATTGATTCGTTTTAGGTGAGAAACCCTTCATATGTTATTGAATGAATCAGAAATGTTTTGAAGAGTTGCTGAGTTTGTCCTTCTTCCGCATCGCTCAGGTGTTTTCAGGGCTTTAGTCTGGTAGAAACATTAAGTGCTGTGTGTTGGAAATTTACCTCTAGGCTATCATACTCTGACTAGGCCATGTCTACCCTTCTGGCAGGCACAATTGAATAGAAAAAGTAAGTTAGGATTTGTAGTTTGTTTGGATGGATTGGCTCTTGTTTGATCAATTGGCAATTTGAATTATAGGCCTAACCTAGAACCAGATTCTGGAAGACTTTAAGTAGTTTAACTTACTTAAGTTATTATTTCTTATTAATTAATTTTGTTATGATGTTTGCTTTATATGGTCGGCAACATCATACTAAATTACATTACTGTACCTTATAATTTAATACAAAGTAGGTTTTTTAAGCCCAAGTATGAATGGACCCACTACACTACACAATGCCAAACTGCACTGTTACCGTACTTAAGTACCTAACTTAATGGTACAAATCGGGTACACTTCCATATCTGTTGGCACAAACAACCAAATGAGTAGGCTAATATTGAATATTCGATTGTTTAATTCGATATGTCGTTTGGTTAGTTAGGTTAGGTTAACCCCACCTAACTAACCAAACGATAATATCGAATAATCAATATATCGATCGATATTTTCATTCGGTTGTTTGTGCCAACAGATTATACAGATATATAGATAGTGTACCCACAAATCAGTGAACGTATTACATTTAGTGCACCTTTGCTACCCATTCACTAGAAAACAATGTCGAGGTCTTAAACTTAGGCTAAGTTAAATTCACTAATTTAAATAGATTGACAATGGTCTGGCCTTTTCCTAAAATAAGGTCTAGGCTACTAACTGCCTGTTTGAGTAGGATTATCAAGGGAACACTGTAAGTTAGTACCCTAGGCTAATTAACTTAATTCATTGATACAGTTAACTTATATAAAATTACGGTACCTAAATTTTGTTGACAATGTAGGTAGCGCTCGAGTGGTTTTTTATTGCAATAACTTAAGCCTAGGTAATATCATGTTGTAGCCTAGAATTGTGATAGGTAACGGTTCTAAGGGTAATGAGTTTACGAGCAGGCATTTAGTTAAAAACATAAAAAATAAAGGTTGTTAACAATGAAGCAGTAGCTATGCTTGTCAGTGCACATCTCATGGCACAGAACCATGGTGGGTATTTACTCGATATCAAGTCCACATATAATGTTCCAACCAATCCTGAGGAAACAATCAAGAAACCTATTGATTCAGGGACCAAAAGTGAAACCCAAGCAACAAGAGAAGGTACAGTGCTTATACCTATCTGCTGATGAGTTATTTCATTCTTTGCCAAAGCATTTCCCCATTTAACACCTCCAACGAAAGCTAAAATTGTTGCACCATACACCAATTGGGCTGTTGCTAAGAAGGGACTAAATGACCCAACTATGAAATAAAGCGGAGGAAAAACAAAAGGGATGATTCCTCCAAAACCATACAAATTAGCAGCAACCGGAGTCTGCTTCAACTGATTTAAGTCCACTTTTTTAATTACTGATTTTAAGTCTTCTTTCAAATTGTCTGTAACAGATTTATCAACGCATCTACTTGTAGAAAATGACAGAGGATGCAAATAGAAAAGAGGACTTCTTTCTCTCACTTTCAAGTGAGATTGACTTGGGCTTAAGCTTGCTTTAGTAACCAGATAACCAGTATGAGAAACTGTTTGTGGTAAAAACCTTCTATAGAGAGGAAAGCGATGTCCATGTCCCATCAAAATAAAATTCATTTGAAAATTGGATCACAAGCAGAAGAGAGCCTTTTCTCAAGGCAACCCTGACTGGTTGATAAATCGAAGAAATAATGTAAATAAAAGAAAACACTGACTTGACAACTCCACTACTGACTGACTGAACAAGATAACTATTCAATTCACTATTTTTAATAAAAGTGAGGTTAACCAACCAAAGTGTCCAATTATGTAATAAGTTTTTTTTTCTCTCCAGTCTAGTACAACCCATGGTGGAAGTAAATAAGGTGTGCTACTCAGCCGGACGAGTTTGAGACCGTTCCGCGCATCGCAACGTGACGTCACCTTGGGGGCAGACCGCTTCGCGCGCGTATATAGCTCAGCGTGACACTGCTCTATTAACATCAACATTTTGAACTGTTAGAATTGAGGAAAAATTATGAAACTTGACATGGACATCAATTATAAGTGGACGATGCGTGTTTTGAAAAAAATAGTTTGTAATTGTTAAAAACTTAAGCGTGAAATCACTCTTTATACTTGGCCTTTCTTAAAACTAAACATGTAAAAGTTAGTGGGCTACCAATAAATCACGTACTATTTGGTTAGAAGCATTTGACCAGCGGGAAAGTTTTAGATAAAGATCCAAAATTAACTTTCCTTCAAACCGTTGTTAGAGGCGTTATTTCCTGAGATATGCTAAGTTATATGAGCGCGTGATCGGAGCGCGTGCTGCGAGTCGAGTCAGTTGCCAAGTATTAATCACACATTGCCATCCAACAAATAATGTAGTTTCATGAATATAGTATCATTGATACTTTTATTCCTGTATTTATATTTTTATGTGAAAAATTTTTGTTTTGTTGACTTCAGTGTGTTTTTCCCCGTTTGAATATGGGTTATTTCGTAATAGTTCACAGAGAATAATACTAGGTGAAACCCGTCGAAATCGACGGTTACTTTCAAGGCTTACGTTAATTCATCTAACTGCGATAAATTGGGTGAAATATACATATTTTGAGCAATTAACATTGTTTAAAGAGTAATAAGTGTAAAAAGAATAATTATATTAATTGCGTTAGTTGCCAAATTTGGTTGATCATTCAATGAAAAAAATATTCCCCATACCGTACGTCATCGGAGTTATTATTAGTAGTCTATGTTATTTGGTATATCTTCCTTTGGAAGTACGTTTAAATAGTATTAAAATCGTATCGTATTGATGGATCTTTTGTAGTTAAACACTTTCGTGATTTCATTAGTGTAATCCACATGTAATCTATAATATAATATTAAAACGAAACAGTGTTTTTTTATTTCACGATTCTGAATCAACCACTCGCGACGGATTTTCATGATTTTTGTGTTGAAAGAAAGATAATTTTGAGAACTAGGGAATGTCGAAGCCATAATTTTAGTTTAGGGTCCCAGTTTTTTAGAAATTAAGTTTTAATTTTTAAAAAGTCTAGCAGCCGACGCTAAGATTCTAAACTAGCTTTGGCAGGTATTTACTCAGGGGAGGTATAGAAGAGGCTACGATGACAGCTGTGGGCTTCTTATTAGCTGAGGGAACGCCATTACCGTAACAAAACGTTCAACAGCCATCGGCCTCGGTGGTCTAATGGTTAGCGTGCCGGACTGGTATACTGTAGGTCCCGGGTTCGAATCCCGCTGGTAGCATTAACTTTTTGTCCAAGATCTTTTTATTATCAGCAAGTTTGGTGATAATGATGACGTAAAAATCCGGAAATGGCGTTGGATTTGAGCTGACGTCACGATGGATGATCATATGATGTTCAAGGTCATTTGTTTGTGTTTAAAAAAAGGAAGCTATCCTACAGTTGTAGTGTAGGATAGCTTCATTGTTTTGTTTATTGTTTATTTGTATAAAACATGAGGGATGACAATAACTTACATACTATTACAATAAATAAGGAAAACATGTGCGAACGTACGTATCTAGAGTGAGTGTCTGCTAAAGTGTAAAACGAATGAGTTTATTGGTGGCCTTTATAAAGGCCGTTTTGTGTAGCTCGGCGACGCTTGTGTACTTGGATTTTTACTTCTTCAACTCCTATATTGTATTATGGAGCTCTTTCCATATTGCCATGTCTGCATTGTGCTCGGCCCATTCGATGTTGTCTCGAGGCTGGCCAAACATGATCAAATTTGTGTCGAAGCTCTTTCTCCTCCTCTAGCAGTTGAAGTAGTTTTTCCTTTCGTTTTCGCTCCTGCTCATCTGCCTCGATGCATGCTTGGTGTAGGTCAGAGTCTTCAATATCGCTTGTCCACTGTTGTTGTTGTTGTTGTTGTAGGTTGGCCATCTTGTGCAAAGTAAACGAGAAAGGTTGAGTTGACTGGTGAAGAGCTGGATGCGAAGTGACTGTTGTGTGTAAAGAAGTGCAGGTCCCTGACGAAGTGGGCGGAGCTAAAGCAGTAGGGGTGGGGGAAAGTAGTAGAGGTGGGGGAGAGCATTATGCGGGTATCAATCCATACGTTTTAAAAGTAGTTTGATTCTACGTCCTTTGTCTTGTGAGGGATGTTTCCGTTTTTCTTGATACGTTTTACAATTACATTGACAATAGGAGAACGATTCACATTTTTTACAAGCCATTCCATCTACTTGACATTCGGGTGTTTTGAAACACTTTAGATTACAACAATAGTATTTTAAATCGTATTCAGATTTGTGATCAAAAGATGAATTAGAATTACACAGTGACATGTTGCTCGACTGAATTTTAAAACAAGAATGAGAAGCAATGTGTTGCGAGCTGCTATATATAGTGTAAAAGCCTACAGCTGTCGTGCATCTGCCACATCTTAGTCCACATTTTTCCAGAGTAGGTTAACCATTTGTGTTAGATCGTGTATGTAATTTTGATGCTTGTCTTGATATGTTTTACACCTACATATGCAACAGCCAACAGAGTCACATTTTTTACAAGCTTTTCCATCAACTTTACTTTAAGGCTTTCTAAAACATTTTAAATTACAACAATAGTTATCCAAATCGTATTTGGATTTGTAAACAAAAGGTAAATTGTATTTACGCTGTGACATGATGTTCGATGAATTGTTGAAACAAGACTGAGAGCAACTGCGTGTAAGACCTGTTATTTATAGTAAACATTTCAAGGTCATTTGTTTGAATTTAAAAAAAGAAACAACATATCAGCATATATAATTAATTTTATGCTGATATGTTGTTTCCTCTTTTAATTTTTATTTATTTATTTATTTATTTTACAATGACATAAACATGTTTCAAACATATGTACATAGACGGTTATTTACAGAAAAAACTTAAAACTAGCATTGATGGGTGATGTGTAGAGATAGTTCAGTGAAATTGTTTCCGCAAACTCCGTGTGATACCAAATAGAGGGATCCTGGTTGAATACCTCGCAGGTCTTCGTTTTGTAGTTACTGCACAAATCGTCTTGGAAGATAAACTTGAAATTTCGGTTCATCACCTGGTGAAAACGGTGCCTCGCTCAGTGATGCTAAAATTGCGTCTCCATGTGAAGTTTCTGTCTTCTTCAGCTCGTGAACGATGTAGTGTTTGTGTTCCTTCAATTCGTGGCATTTCTTAGTACTTAGAATGCTGGATTTGGACTGGGTGTTGAACTGATCCACCAAAGACTGGAGAAACTGTTGTAAAGCCATTTTCTTGATTAGGACTACCCTGTGAGATGTTGCCTCTGCGATGTCTGGAGTAATACTGATGAGGATCCTAAAACTGTCCACTGTATTTATAGCACACGTTCCCCCCTCCACTGCTATTTCCTTCGTAATACTTCCACTGTTGCTGTTTGAATTTATTTTTGTCCCAATAGTGAAGAACTAGAAAATTAGCTAATCGGTATGCGTTTTGTAGTGCACATTGTGTGACTGTGCGATAAGAGTGATCTGTTAAAGTACAAATAGGTCCATAATTAATTTGATGATCCTTGTCCATTCTTATGTCGAAAACATCGTGATATGTGTATCGTTGTATCCATTGTCTTTTTTCCCGATCCTCTTGTATAATTATGGGAAAACTTGTTAGAAAAATGATACATGATATTGTTCAAGTGCTTATAGCTTATCAATCCTTCGTTCCACTGAATATGGTGAAAATGTTTGGTTATCCATTCGTTTGTTCTTCTTGCTTTGTCATTCAATTGGTTTACTGAAAATGGAGCTTCAAATATAAACGGGTATACGACATGTGTAATCAAATCTAAAATCACTAATTCTTTTATCACAAATTCATCTTTGTTATCGCGAAATGCTTGAAACTCTATTTCACAGGGTTTTATATCCATAATGTTTAACCCTATCTACACACCACCCCTAGATAGGGTTTTAACCCTATCTACCGTATAGTGTTCAACTGAATTCACACCGCGCCTTGGTCACTCTTTTATACTGTTTTTTTAATTACACTTCTTGGGTTGCTGGTTCTTCTTGGTTTATGGTTTCATATTCTTCAACAGCTTCTATCGCTTCTTCATCAATTGATTCGAAGTTCCTTAACTGTCTCCACATTCTTCAAGTAACAATCCGTTAGCCTCATCTTTAAATTTTCCCAATACTTCCTTGTTTTTATCTTGTTCGTAGTTTGGATTATCTTTAGGATAGTCAGAAAAATCAAATTCATCTTTATATACAAATGTGCGAAGATCTTTATACATATCTTGAGTAATTATCTTGTAAATAAAAGCATCTGTATCCATGTAAGTTATAACTATGTTCTCTCTTCCATAATGTGCAACCATCTTGTTGTAGTGAAAATCATACATGTGCGTTTTTGATATATCTAATATTGACATTCCTATATACAAAGGTCGATCCATTTTTATACTAGTTTTCTTCATAGATACGGCAACAAGATTTTCATTAATGATTACTGATGATCCAAAGTTGGGTTTCTGTACAAGTTTCTCCAATTTCCTAGCATCTGTTACAAGTTTTACATTTTTGTGTTTCCTTTTATTTTCCAGAGTTTTACCGAACGTCGCATTGTTCATTAATTTAAAAAAGTCCTTCTGGAAGGCTGACGTTGCTGCTGCTCTTCTTGTAGTGTTGGAATCGATGTAGGGTTTCAGCCAGCAAGATTGAGAAAATTCCAAAACTCTGTGTACTTTAGTTAGACGAAGTCCTAATTCAAGTGCTTGTTGTACAGTCCAAAAGTGCGCTACATATCTTTGCTTGTTAT